AAATCTCAAATCATAACTATGACTCTGAAAAGCCTAGTTGCTGTCTTTCAGAAGAACTGAAAATGATGCAATAAAGGACTAGTACAATAGTCAAAAACGGGAGAACGTCCTTAGCAGTGTTCAAGAAACGTGTAGATGAGGCACTTAGGGACATGTAGATGAGGCACTTAGGGACATGGCAGGCATGTTGGTGATGGGTTTACAGTTGTACTTGAAGATCTTGAAGGTCTTTTACAACCATAGTGGTTCTATGATTATGGGATGAAACTACCAACAGTTCCTCTTACTTAGACTACCAAAGCAGAGAGGAATACAATTGCTACTCACAGACAAGTAGAGGGAAGAAATGTGAAAAAGTCACGAAAGCTCGAAGATGAAAGCTGCACAGGAATGAACAGCTGTAAGAAGTTGTTGATATATTCTGGGTGAAGACGAAAAGATTCACGTGCTTCAGAGCAAGGAGGTCTGTAAAGGTTTTCAGTAAAACCAAGAGAACAAGCTTCAAGTGATGCTTGATAAGCACATGGAACATACGGATAGGATTTCAAAAACAAGGAACTCCAGTGTGTAACCCAGGAGGTCTCCACGGGACCCCTATCCAGTCTTTGGCCATGCTCTTTTAAATATCTGCACAAGGCACTAAAAGATTCCCTTGGCTTCTGCCATTTATCTGTCATTCACCATTTATGCCTCGCTCCATGCAGACAGCCCAGGTTTGTGCATTGCACTGCTTTGCATTCTTATTTCAGTGCTGTGAGGCCCAATGCAAACCTCCCAAACGCAGCCACAACTGGCTGCCCATGAGGCTCAGGAGTGAGACACTATCAAGTCAGAGAACCTATTGAAAAAGGGGAGGTAGCAGGGAGAATAAATGTGGTTTTGCTTTGCTCTTTTGGTTCATATAAACACACAAGTGCCCGCGTCCAAGACAATTTCAAGCTCAAAACCAGAGCATTTGGATGGTTGCTGTGACTAGCAACAAGATGATGCTGAGCAAATAGTCAGGGTCACCAACACCACTCCGCCAGACAGGAGAAATCAGCAAGTCCTGTCACCGGGATCAAGAGGACACTGAGAATGTACCTACTCCAAAATGAATAAAGGTGGTCTGTGTTTGAGAGGGAATCTCTCAAACCCTGTTTTAACATGCATTAGTGATGCATTAGTGATGCATTTTAACAGCATCACTAATACAAGCAGTTCCTCGGGTGCTTCCTGCATGCTAGCAGTTTTATATTTACCACTTTTCCTGCATGAATAAACTAGCTTTTAAAACATCGTAAGGATACCTGGTGGCATTAGCAAGAGATCCTTGTGGTTAGGCCTCATAATGTAATTCATTTTAAGGGGCAAAAAAAGCAAAAAGAACTAATGAGGAGAGAGGGATAGCCACAGTCCCAACCTTCAGTCCACCACAGAGGGAGCAGCATGGGATGAAGGCTTCTCCATGGTGCTCCTTGCTCGGCTTCCTCTCTCGGGATCCCCTAGGAAAGACCTCATGGTGAGGCTGGTGGCTCCGGAGGCTACCTGGAGCATCCTCAGAAGGAAGCAAGCTTTCACCCAGCACCCAAGGTGGTGTTACTGCTTGGGGAACCTGCGTAGCACCTGGGTAACATCACAAGTCTACTGCAGTCAAGGTTATTTCTGTAAACCTGCAAGCAGCTCCCGGCAGTTTGCAAACTGCACCTCACAGCAGCTGAATATCATTGTTCCTGTATTAAGAGGATTTTATTTATTAATTTATTTATTTGGCTATTACTCTTCATAACTAATACCAGTGCTAATAACTAAGTTCTATTAGCTAATAACTTCAATATAGCATATTGCACCTATAAAGCAAATAACTTCATAACAGCATCAGTACACTCCCAGCTGTTGTCCAGGAAGCCGTAGGCAGCCAGGGACCGGAATTTTAGCCAAATGCTGCCTGCCGGGTTGCTTCCAGGCCCACACGGAGCAGGACTGGGAAAGAAAACATCCAGATTTGCATTTATGCTTGCTTCCGACTCAGGCTTCGGTTCTGCCAGTGGTAGTAACGACTGGAAATGACGGGATCTCCAGAAGAAAAAAAAAAGGGGGGG